ATTTCTATAACTAACAACCACATTTATATATGAAAAGCAATAAGAAGCCAGGCACCAGTGGCTCACACCTGCAATCCTAGCTACTGAGACTAAGAAGATCAAGGTTCAAAAACTTTGGGCAGAAAAGTTAGACTCCATCTCAGTGGAAGAAGCATGGTGTAACACATGTCATACTAGCGATGGGGTGGGACATGAAAAATAGGAGGACCGTAGTTCAGGCACAGGCCTATGTAGGAAATGAGACCCTATCTCAAAAATAATCACAGGGGCTGGGAAGGTGGCTCAGTGGTAGAGCGCATGCCTTGCATGCTCAAGGCCCTGGGTTCGATTCCTCAGCACCACATAAGCAAAAAGAAAAAAGCTGGAAGTGGCGCTGTGGCTCAAGTGGTAGAGCGCTAGCCTTGAGCTGAAGAGCTGAGGGACAGTGCCCAGGCCCAGAGTTCAGGCCCCATGACCGGACCAAAAAAAAAAAAATAATAATAATCACAGTAAAAAAGGGTTAGAGGTGTGGCTTTAGGGTAGAGGATCTACTCAGCAAGTAGAAGGCCCTGAGTTCGAACCCCACTACTGATTTAAAAAAAAAAAAGTTACAACAAACAGAAACATTTTTTCCTATTGTTGACATTTGCTGTCAAGACGTGTTCTATATTGTTTCTTAAAGTGAAATTCCAAATTCCACATATCTCACTCAACGACACAACAATTGTTCATGCTTAATATAAAAGCAACCACATAACCAACTAAATACTCAGCCAGCCTACTGATGAGCTAACCAACCAAAATACTAATCAACCAACCTACCAACTAACCAACCGACCAACCAGCCAACCAACCAACCAATCAACCAGCCAATCAACCAACCAACCAAATGGCCAATGATTACTGAGGATCTACTGAGACAGTTGACTGTGGTATACACAAGGAGAGAAAAACGTATGACAGAACATTTCCCTGTGAAAAAGAATACAATCATTATTTTCAAGTAAAAAAATCTCAACATGAAAGAAAATTATACCTATACTTCATAAGTCTTAGAATCTCTACAGAGGGATTTTGTCATACTCTTTTTTACCGAGGTCATTTATTTCTTGCACTATGAGCAAACCCACTATGACTATTGAAAATGGAGTAAACTAAACATGCCACCCAAGCTAGGGTGATGCTGGGCTATCCTTGTTTCTCTCCCCCTTGAATTTCCCCTGCACATTGAACAGCAGCTAGAGATCACAGTTGTTTTTGTTTTTTTGGGGAGGTGGTGGTGGGGGACAGTCCTGGGGCTTGACCTCAGGGTCTAGTCACTGACTTTTAACTTTTTTTTTCTTCTTTTTTTTTTTATTGTGAAAATAGTGTACAGAGGGGTTACAATTACATTGGCAAGATAATGAGTACATTTCTTATCAAGCATTGTAGCCTTCTCCTTTATTTACCCTTCCCATCCCTTCCCATCCTCCCTCCCCCCACCCAGTCCTCCCCCCCCCAAGTTGTAAAGTTTGTTTTCGACATGACAACTTGTACTTCTCATTGTTGCAACAGGTCCACCTGTATCCTTATTTAAATGACTTGTTTTTCCCCTTCCCCTCCACAAATTATACCGACATCAAATACAGTGAAAGCAGGGGTTATACTGTGGGGGAGGGACACACAAAGCAACAAAGAAATAATCTTTTTTTTTTTTTTTTGTCGGTCATGGGGCTTGAACTCTGGGCCTGGGCGCTGTCCCTCAGCTCTTCAGCTCAAGGCGAGCACTCTACCACTTGAGCTACAGCACCACTTCCCAAAGAAATGATCTTATAATTGTGTTAGAGACAAATGCGTGAAAGAAAAAAAAACATTTAAAATACATATCTTAGGGTTCATTTTCCTAACATCACCTTATCTGACCTTTTCTGCTTGATTCATACATATACTAGATATTGCAAATAAGGGAAATCATGGGACCTATGTTTCTTTGGGCTTGGCTTACTTCACTTAATATAATTTTTTCCAAGTCTTTCCATTTCCTAACAAATGGGGTAATGTCATTCTTTCTGATGGAGGCATAGAATTCCATTGTGTATATATACCACATTTTTTTGATCCATTCATCTACTGAGGGGCATCTGGGTTGGTTCCATATCTTAGCTATGGTAAATAATGCTGCAATAAACATAGTTGTGCTGGTAGCTGACTTTTAGCTTTTTTGATCGAGTCTGGTGCTCTACCACTTAAGCCACAGCTCCACTTCTGGCCTTTTGGTGGTGGTTAATTGCAGCCAAGAGTCTCCTGGACTTTCCTCCAGAGATGGCTTTGAACTGTGATCCTCATATCTCAGCCTCCGGAGTTGGTAGGATTACAAACATGAGCCACTGGTATGGGGTATGAATCAGAATGTTTTTGCCCTGGATTATAGGCAGAATTGCCCAATATGAGAATTCACTATGGGAATGAGCACGTAAACCTGAATTGTGAAATAGGATTTTAAGTGTTTTTGTTATTGTTTGTGCAGTACTGGGGATCAAATGTAAGGCTCTGCACATACTAGGCAAGTGCTCTTCCACTAAGTGGTAGCCCCTGCCCTAAGTGGTCTTTTTATAATATGAAATATATTGTAAGTGTACCATTGGCAGCACCAAGTATTGTCACCTTGTTGCACAACCATTTCCAGAACTTTTCTATTATCCCCCAACTGAAACTCTTCACCTATTAACTAATAACTCCTCATTGTCTTCTCTCTCCTGCCTCTGGTAACTTCTGTTCTACTTTCTGTGTCTGTCAGTTTGACTACTCAAGAGTTTTCACTTAAGTAGAATTATACCATATATATCCCTTTGGGTCTGACTCATTTCACCTAGCAAGTCTTCAAGGTTCATCTGTATCATAGCAGGTACCAGCATTTCATTCCTGTTTAAGGCTGAATAATAATCCATTGTACATAGGTTACATTTTCTTTATTTATCTCATTTATTTTTGGACACTCCGGTGAAGGATTTGTGGACAGGAACAAAGGCACAAGCCAGAAAGTCAAAAGCTCAGAATTACAAAAGCCAGCTTTCTGATCATGGAGCATGGATCAGTTAGAAATCAGGGTGAATGACAGGTCTGGGCAGGTAGAAAACAGCAGAGGAGAAAGGAGTGGGGCTGGAGAGAGGAAGAGTAGGGGCAAGTTGGATCATGGCACTTCCACAGGTGCAGTTCAGGGAACTGGTGGTCTGTGCTGGGTGTGGGATAAAGCTGGATCCTCACAGGTCAGGGTAGAGAAATGCCCAGATTGTACCCTCAGTGGCCTACACTGGCTTGGTATACTCAAGTTAGGTGGTACTTATGAATGTGTTATTTGCCCAGATCCAGGACTCTACTTTTCTCCCATCTTTCAAAGTTGCCTCTTGGCACAGGGTCTCTCCCTGTTCAAATCCATTCACTAGCTCTCATTATTTATAATCACTGCTCTGCGGGGCTGGTAATCCCAATGTGTGAGGAGAAGGTGACTTTTACAGCAGAACAAACAGGAGAATGGTGTAGAGTACAATATTTTGCACGTGATAGGGACAAAGCCTGGCTTTGGTGAGGCGTGATCTTTGGAGATGGCTTTGTTTTTCTCTCAGATACACTCCACTACAAGCTTAAATTTGCATCCTCCACCTTGATAGCATTTGAGAGGTGGGCCCAAAGAGGCCCTGATTCCTTAGGATGGTTTCCAGTTGGATGTACTGAGGGGCTGCTCCTACAGCCTTTTCCAGATCTCTTCAGAGCTGTACAGACAGACAAGACAGACAGACAGACTTGCTCTTTCTTCCCCCATGGTTTCTGTTTGAAGCCAAGCCATTCGGGCATTCCTGCTCTCACTTTTGCTAACAGGTTAGCTGATCTGTGCCTCAGTTTCCTCATCTGTCAGGATAATTTAGTAAGTTTACATGGGTATTGGTAGCGTTTGGCTTAGTGCCTGGCTAACAGTGAGTTAGATGATCATATTATTGCTTCTTTCTATCTGAATAAGGATTCTTCGTCGCTTCTTCTACACCGTTCATCTTTCCACCGCTTCGTCGCGGCCCCGCCAAATCCAGCTTCTCACCGGCCATCTGAGAGCCGTTCCCCAGCTCGTCCTTTATTGGCAGTTCAGATCCAGCTCAGGGGTGCAGGATACCCTCTATGGAGTTGAAAACTCCAGAAGACGAAGCCTTAGTGGGATAGATGGGCGAGTGTGCAATCTTCGAAAGGGGCAAAAGGTTCCTAAGTGAAAAAGCAAGGTCTTCCCAGAGCCGCCCCGCCCCACACGTGTGGACCCTTCCCGGAGCCGGGCGTCCCGCGGGGCTGCACGCGCGGGTGCCTCTGGCTCCGATCGGGGGGGGGGGGGGAGGCCGGGGCTGTGGGTGTAGCTCAGGGGAGCAAAGGCGCCGGGGGCGCCCGGCAGGATCCCGAGTGACCTGCTCTCCTTCTGGAAGCCTTACCACTGTGGCCCCAGAGACCCGCGCTGGTCCAGTGGAGAGGGTCCCGCCCAGAGAGGGAGAGCGAGGGCTACCTAATTAACTGGAATCCTCCCATTCCGTAAGTGGCCCAGAAAGGACTTCCACCTGGGACGCCCCGGGGCCTCGCCGTCCCAGGCTGGTCCCTGCACGGGGCGGAGCTGGCCGGGACGGGAGCTCGCCCCGCCCCGTCCCGCCCCGCCCCGCAAGCTGTAAACTGACCGTGTGCGGCGGGGCGGGGGCCTGGAGGGGGAGAAGGGGAGGAGAAAGGAGCGGAGGAAAGTGGAGCCCGGCGGTCGGAGGGAGAGGAGAGAGAGAGAGGAAGGGGCGGAGGCCGTGGGCGCAGGGTCCCCGCGCGCGTTCGGGAACCCCCGCCGCAGCCTCTCGTGCGCCACCAGCCCCCTTACCTGCCCATTGCCGCCCGCCGGCCGGCGGAGCGGCGACCCCACCGGGCATCCCGGGATGGTGGCGGCGGCGGGGCGCAGGCCAGCGCGGGCGGCGTGAGCCCGAGCCGCGCGCGCGCGCGCCGGGCAGGGGGCTGCAGCCTCCCCCACTCCCTCCCCGGTCCTCGGCCCCCCACTCCCCTGCCGCGCGCCCCACCATGCCGCGGGGGCCCGCACCCTTCTACGCCTGCCTCCTGGGGCTCTGCGCGCTCGTGCCGCGCCTCGCAGGTAAGCCGAGCCCCGCGCCCAGCCCCAAGTAACTTTGCTGCGCACACGCCGAGGGCGCAGGGCGGAGGGCGGCTCCGGGCGCTCCAGGTGGGCCAGCCCCGCTCCGCCAGCGCCGCCCCGACCGGGCTGCCCGCCGCCGCCGCGCGGCCGCGTCCCTTCCTGTGTAAACAGCCCGGCCCGTCCGCTGACCCCGGCGGGGCGGCGAGGCGGGGCGGGCCGCCCGCACGCCCGCCCGCCCGCCCTCGTCCCTGCACGGCAGCCGGGGCTCGCTCTCCCTTCTCGGGCACAAAGCGGCCCTTGTGGTTCGCGGAGGCGCGCGGGGAGGCGCCGGGTGATGCCAGGGGTGCCCCGCTCCGGGAAGAGGCGGAGGGCAGCGCGTGGCGTGGGACCCCAAGTGTGGCGCCCCTGTGCGCCCCCCTTCCCCCGGACCGCTGCACCCAGAAGAGCGGGTGCACGGGGCCCCACGGCGAACCAAGTCTTGCCCGACGCCTGGGCTCACTGCCGTCCTTTAAAGATGTACCCAGCCCCTCCGATCCCTCCCTCCGTCCCCGAAACCCCGAGGGGCGATTCGCGTCCGGAGCCACGGGCCCCACTTGGGGCTTCCGGATCGGATTGCTCTGCCTGCCTCTGTCCCCAGATGCCCTGGCATTGAGAGCCGCGCGGCACTAACGGGGGCCGGTCGGGGCGCTCGGGGCTGGGGCTGCCCGGGGCTGGCGGCGGTTACCCGCTGGAGGGCTTCCGGAAGCCCCCGCAGGACGCACGCAGCGGGCAGATGCGCAGACGCCGCCGCCTCCGAGCACCCCCAAAGCTGGAATCGCCAAACTTTCCCCTTTCCCTAGGAAGTAGTTGTAAGTTGGGAAGGAATTGCTCGGTTGACTTTCAAGCCCTCGGTTCTTGTTCCCTCGCGAGCTCAGGGGTTTTCTGGCTGCCGGCGGGGGCTCCCCCTCCCGGGCTCCCCAGGTTGTCGCGTTTGCCTGGAGGCCGTGGAGGTTTCCACCCGCGCGCAGGACGGGGGTCTGAGCCTTCATTTAAACCTTACTGTAGCGAGGTTTCTTTTTATGGGAAGAATCTCAGTGGGTTCAAAACACCCATCTGGCACCTAGTGTCCCATCAGTGATGTGTTAATGGGGGGTGGGCAAAGAGGAGGAAGATTTGCACATACACACACACACACACACACACTACTATATCTGCCTCCTTTGAGGAGTCTCCTTCAGTTTGAAGTCATGCATGCCACTTTTTTATTTTTTCTTCCTGGTTTTGGGGCTTGAACTCAGGGCCTCCTGGGCTCTGTCCCTAAGCCTCTCCGTGTTCAAAGCTAGCGCTCTACTGCTTAAGCCACAGCACCACTTCCAGCTTTTTCGGAATAGTTTATTGGAGATAAGAGTCTTGGACTTTCTTGCTCCCGCTGTCTTCAAACTGAGATCCTCAGCTAGGATTACAGGTGTGAACCACTGGCAACTGGCTCACTTCCTGCTGCTGCTGCTGCTCCTGCTGCTCCTGCTGCTGCTGCTGCTGCTGCTGCTGGTGCTGCTCCTGCTCCTCTTCCTCCTCCTCCTCCTCCTCCTCCTCCTCATTATTATTATCGTGGTGGAACAGTTTTGTTTTTATTAGTTACTTTTTTAGTGATGGTAGTTTTAAAATATTTTGGCTGAATTAAAAAATCCAGCAACCTTATATTAATTTCTCCTTCCGCTCCTTTTTTTCCCCATTTTGTTTCTTTTGTTTTCTGTGCAATTAGAGTTTGAGAACTCTAGTTCCCTTCCACTTTGTCATTTCTGTGATTCTAATAAAAAATAAAACTCAAAGTATTTCCAGTTGGAAAAAAAAGTTTGAAAGGCATCATTTTCCACTGTGTATTTCAGATTTCCCTTTTCCAAAGTTTTATGTGGGAACTCACAAGGCTGGTGGGCATCTGGCAGATAGGCTCAAGAGGGCCTAGTGACTGCCCCTTTATTCCACCTGGTCTGGGGGAGGTAAATTTGATGTTTCACTCAGTGCTCTGTGTCCTATGTGGCTCACTGTAGGTAGAAAACAGCAGCGAGCTGAGGTGGCTTATTTCCAGTGTCTTCAGGGTTCTCTTTTTTTCCATTGCCCATCTCAACCACAGGCTTGCCTTCTGCCATTTCCTGTTGGAGTTCTGCCAGCCCCCTGGGAGCTGTAGAACCAGGGCCTTCAGATTTAGCCACCTCCCTCTTCAGGCCCTGGAGCTTTGCATTGTTAAAGCCACTACCTCATCTGTGTGATCTTAGTGACCCAATGTTGCTGAGCCAACTTGACAATTTTGAATTTTTTGTTCTTTCTCCCCTGCCCCCCTCCATTTCCCCCTCCCCCTCTTGTGTTGCGGGTTTTTTTCCCAGAGTTCCTTTCTGCATTGAGTTAAAAGAAAAACCTTCATTACCTAGAGAGAAAAAGGTTCTGTGCAGGGTCTAGCCTGCATGGCTGTTCCCAAACTGGTGGAGGAAACCAGCAGTCAGGAACTTTTAAGTTTAGTGGGGTCTTGGTGGAGTCTTGCTAACTTTCCCTACCCTCTTCCAGCCTTGAACCATGATCCTCTCCATTTGCCTCTCAGGTAGCTGGGATTACTGGTTTGAACTACCATCCAGGCTCAGAGGCTCACTTTAACAAGTCCTTGCCAGGCTGCTCCCCACTCTATCACCAGGGTTCTCTCCTCTTTCTATTCTTTGGCCAAGAGTGACAGACTGGACCCTTACACACGCTCTTCCCACAAAGCCTGGGAAGGGTCTCCTTGGGGCAGGTCTTTCCATGCCCCCTTCCTCCCTCACACAGAGAGAGGAGTGTACTCTCCGTCCTGCTGCATGACTGGATGACTAGAGCCGTGTTTGCTATCTTAGTTCATTTTTTTTTTCAAAGCAATCAAATGTTCTTTTAGTAAATGTGCTACAAATTAGAATGCTCTGAATACTAAGAGCCCTTTGTTTTAAGTAGAGGACTCCTGTTGGCAGCCCCCCTCCTCTCCTCTCCCCCTGTAGCCCCACCCACCATGGGGGTGTGTGATGATGTCTTGTGGGTCTGTTAGAACTAGGCTGGGTTTGCAGCGCCCTTCAGGTAACCAGGCCCTGGCTTGGCAGTGCCGCTACACTGAGATGCCAGGGGTGGGCCTGGTTTATACACTGCTGTTTACCCTATGGATTTACATCTTAATTCCATCATCCCTGAGCTAGGGGGGTGGGCTTTTTATAAAGGAGACTGAGGCAGAAGAGGGCAGGGTCTAATTAGCTCTAATTAATATTCCTCTCCTGTTTGTTCTCCATGCTTATTTAGCTACTGAGGCAACAGAGAATTAAAGTATCTAAGTGGCTTGGCAAAAGGCCCTCTGCGCCCGCCTGCCTGGGTAACAACCTTTCCTTCAGCCTGCTTGTGGAAGTAGTCTGAGAAGCTTGAACAATATCAGCAATGTGGGGTAATTGTACAGTCCTTTGGTAATAGCTGTATGGGGGTGGGGTGATGGGCTGGGGTCTCCTTTCACAGGTATCTTTGGCATGATTTGTTTAAGGAAATGTAAAGGATTGCAGCATTTATGAGAGAGATTCTCTCTCTCTCTCCCTCCCTCCTTCCCCCCCTCTCCCTCTCCCTCTCCCTCTCCTTCTCCCTCTCCCTCACCCTCTCCCTCTCCCCATCCCCCTGCCTCCCTCCCTCTCTCCCTCCCTCCCTCCCTCTCTCCCTCTCTCTCTCTCTCTCTCTCTCTCTCTCTCTCTCTCTCCCTTCCTCTCTCCCTCCCTCTCTCCGTCTCTCCCTCTCTCCCTCTCTCTCTCTCTCTCTCTCATGACAGTACTAGGACTGGAACTCAGGGCCTTTCACTCTTGCTTGGCTTTTTTACTTGAGGCTGGCACTCTTAACACTTGAATTATACCTCCACTTCTGGCCTTTTGGTGGATAAGTAGAGATAAGCATCTCAGATTTATCTGCCTGGGCTAGCTTTGAAGTAGGATCCTCAGATCTCAGCCTCCAGAGTGATTAGGTCACTTGCATCCAGAGAAGTTTCTGGATTCCATCCCATGCAGGATTTGATTCTAGAGCCACAGGGGAAGATCTGCTCTGGGGCAGGTTGGCTCATTTCTGAGGCCTGAGTGCTTGCTTGAGGGGGTTGCAGTATGGTACCCTTTCCTCCCCGGATTTGCTTCCTTACCCTGCTACACTAGTTCCTAGGTGGTCCTTTGTTCTTATAGACCTGGGGCATACTTTTGCAAAGAGTGAGACTATACTAGGGTGCCTTTATTCTCTCCTGTGATCACGTCTTACTTTTGTGTGGCATATTTGTTATAGTTGATGAGCTGTTTTGATAAACTGTCATTAACCAAAGTCTACTCTTGACTCAGATCAGTTGTTTTACCTTTTCCTGTTGTAGGGTCTCATGCAGGATACCCTATTCCTGAGAGTTGTCATGTTCCCCTGGGTTCCTCTTGGTTGTGCCAGTTTCTCTGTCTCTTCTTGTTTTTGATGACCTTGACAGTTTTGTGGAACACTCGTCACTTTGTACACCCTGTCCCAATTGGGGATTCTGCTGATGTCTTGTTTTCTTGATTAGCTGGGGTTAGTGGTTTTTAGAGGCAGACCAATGACTTCTCTTAAAATGAATTTTCGATGCTGGGTGCCAGTGGCTCATTCCTGCAATCCTAGCAACTCTGTAGGCAGGGATCCCAGTTCAGAGCCAGCCCTGCCAGGAAAGTCTGTGAAACTCTTATCTCCGACTAATCACAAAAAGCCAGAGATGGAGTTGTGGCTCAGAGTGGTAGCGTGCTAGCCTTGAGCGCACAAGCTCAGAGACAGCTCCCAGACCCTGAGTTCAAGCCCCAGGACAGGGGAAAAAAAATATTTTTGAGTAAGTAATATATTTACATAATTTTCTTATGCATAAGCAGTATACCCTTATGCCTCCCCTTGTACTTGTTGCTTATTAGCCCAGGATAATAACCCCTGATGGCCTGTTTCATTCACAATTGATTCTTGTTAAGTTCCAGTATATCCGTGTTTCTATG